GTGTCGGAGCCCGGGCCGGCGTCCGGGCGGCCGCAGGCGCCGGCGCCCGCCGCGTCGGCGCCGGCCTGCCCGGGAAGCTAGGCGGGCGGCGGCCCCGCATGCGCCGTCGTGGCACGCAGCGCCGTGCAGGCCTTGTGAACAGGGCGCCGCTGCAGCCCCTGCCGAGCACCCCCGCTGCCCGCCTCGCAGGCCCGCGCCTGCGAATGTTTGGACCCGCGGCCCGGTCCTCTGGCCCCACTCCTCACCTGTTTACCGCCTGCACCGCGCCCCCTCCCTCTCGCCGGCCCACCATTCGTTTTGATCAAAGTTTTGGCACACCAGCAGCGGCCCAACCTCGCGCGCCGCGGTCGCGACACCCCACCCCGCGACACCCAGAATCGGTCCGGGCAGCACTCCATTCCTCCGAGTTCGATTCGTCGCCTGAAAACTGACGCGCCGGCGGCCGGCACATCCCGCGATGGGAGAGGGTCTCGTACGCACCACCCACACCGCGCCGACGGCCAGCTTGGCGCCAACCCCCGCGGGGCTCGGCGCGGGGCGCCCCACCAATACCGAGGGCCCGGCGCGCGCGCGTGCGCGCGTGTGAGGGCCAGCACCGTTTGTTTTGCATCGCGCGGCGTCGCCTGTACCACACTCCTGCGGACGCCCTGTCCACGGCCGTGGCAGCAGCGGCCTGACCGACCCCCACCCCTGCGCCGATCCCCGCCGGCTCACGAGGCGCTGCGGCGCTGCAGCGCTGCGGCCCTTCGGCGCTCCGTCTGCCCACGCCTGCAGAGGAAAGGGCGCGAGGGGGGCAGCGGCGACCTGCGCAGCCCTCCCGCCTGGCTCGCCCGGCCTCCCTCGTTGCCGCCACCCTGTGCGGCTGCCGCGCTTGGTCCCGGCGGCTCGTCTAGCCCGGGGGCACTTTATGGCGGCACAGCACGACCCTGGGCATCACCAGGCCCGCCAGCCACATCGGCACGGAAAGGCGGCGGGCGGTAGGAGCACTTGCAAACCCCCGCGTGGCGGCTCGCGCCCTCACGACGCTACAATGCACGTCACCCGAGTGATGCGGGCGCCGCGGCCCGCCGCCCTGCATTTTCCCGTCCCCAGCGCCTTGATGGGGCCTTGAGCACTGCCCCTTTTACACCACACCGCACCACACCTCACCGTCGAATACGCAGCACACCAACCGCACTGCGCTCACGCTCGCGCGCACGCGCGCCGCACACCATCCGCCTGGCGCGCGCCCGCTGTTGCCGCCCTGCTGTCACCGTGACGTCACCGCCTCGTCGCACCACGTGCGGGGCGCCCAGGGGCGGCCCGGGCTGTAATGCTGGCGGCTGCGTTGCTGCAGCACCACGGCGCTAATGCGCCCGTCGAGCCGCACGCGAGGACGCCAAAGTCGGCGCCCGCGGCGCGGCGCGGAAGACCACACCACACACGACTTTGCCGCTGCGAGCGCGCTCGGCGGGCCGGCGCGAGGGTGGTGTCGGAGCGGCGG